GATAGATTAGATTTTAGATAGATAGATAGATAGATTTTTTAGATTTTTTAGATAGATAGATTAGATAGATGGATGGATTTTTTTTTTTTTTGGATGGATGGATGGATGGATTTTTGGATGGATGGATGGATGGATGGATTTTTGGATGTGGATGGATTTTTTGGATGGATGGATGGATTTTGGATTTTGGATGTTTGTGTTTTTATAGATAGAAGATAGATAGTTGGGTTTTTTTTAGATAGATAGATAGATAGATAGATAGATAGATTTTTATAGATAGATAGATAGATAGATATTTTTTTTAGATTTAGTAGATAGATTTTTTTTTTTTTATTTTTTGTGTATAGATAGAATTTTATTTTTTTTTGTTGTTTTTTTAGATAGATAGATAGATTTTTTATTTTTTAGTTTTAGATTAGATTTTTTTAGATTTTTTTTTTTTTTTTTTTTTTTTTTTTTTTTTTTATTATTTTTTGTATTTTTTTTTTTTTTTTTTATTATATTTTTTTTTTTGCTAAAAGGATTTGGCTGTGATTTTATTTGATAGACATACACACACATCTATTATCTATCTATCTAACTATCTATCTATCTATCTATTTATCTATCTATCTTTCTTTTTTTCTTTTTTTTTTTCTTTTTTTTTCTTTTTTTTTTTTTCTTTTATCTATCTATCTATCTATCTATCTATCTATCTATTTTACCTATCTATCCAGCTATCTATATCCCAGTATGACAAACAAAACCAAATCTTCTTAGTAATGTGTTTTAGCATAAATTTTATTTTTGGACATTATTTTTTTCAATTCCACAGATAATACATAACATAAATAGGCTTTTTAATTGTTATGTGAGTCATGCTATTGTTATAAACAAATAAATTTAAACCTATAAATGCAGTTTTTTATTCCCATAATCATAGATTTTTTTTTTTTTCTTTTTATTAAGTAGTCATTTTGTGGAGAGAGAGAGGGAGAGAGAGAGAGAGAGAGGGAGAGAGAGAGAGAGAGACGAGAGAGAGAGAGAGAGAGAGAGACTTTAATACACAAAAGCTATATATATAAATAAATTTAAATATATATATATATCCTATCTCTCTCTCTCTCTCTCTTTCTCTCTCTCTCTCTCTCTCTCTTTTCTCTCTCTCTCTCTCTCTTATATATATATATATTACATATATATAGAGTGAGAGAGAGAAAGTCTGTCTACATTTCTGAGTACACGTGGTATGAATGAAATAATATTGGGACACGCATATATACTGCCTAGTATATGACTCTAAAGGCGTAAGCAAATAATGACATAAATTGTTTCTATAAGTGGATAAGAACACCCTGTTCATTACCTAATATTAAAGTTTATTGTCTGCAGATCGTTCTGTAAAGCACTGAAACATTTTCAGATCACTTCTGATATTTGATGTCTGCTGATTCCTGACGAACACTATGAATCAAGTCTGTGTAAACATGTTGTAGGTCATTCTGAAACAATGTAGACATCTCTTTTTTTTACTTTGTAACTCTTAGTGGAAAGATGAGGTTTTTTTATCCTGGAAGTAAGAAGTTCCAGCAAACTCAGGGGTCTGCCATAGCTGCCATAGCCCCATGCCTGTGTGCAGTAGGGCATGCTGATACATGTAGTGCTCCATCAGTTGATCTGCCTGACTGTTGTGCCTTGCTCCATAGTTGTAATGCGATTTGTAAAGCAAACATGTGTGATAAGCCAGGTGCCTGTATGGCCACCCTCCTGCTCTCCTCCTCACAGACACTGGGCTATCTGTAGTGCAGCAGAATAATGTCATTAACTCTCTAATATACACTAGGAGCAAACTGTTAATCAAAGGCTATTCCCATCATTAGGGAGATAAAGCTAATGATTTGTGAAGACTGAAGGATGAAGAGGCAGACAGACAGGCAGACATATCACCTTATCAAGCTATCCTAACATCTCCCAGAGAGCCCTGGAGACTGGCTGACATCTCCATACAATGGCATGGGGGGATTGGGGGGCTTTCATCAGAAATGCCATCTTTTACTGCACTGTAACTTTCTTTAAGATTTTCTTCCCTGCCATGTGCATTTGATGGAAGAGTGACTTTTTTTTTCTGTTTGCATTTCTTCCCTATGAAACAACAGAGCATGTATTAGGGCTGCTTTGGGAAAGGCATGGTGGGGCAGGGGGATTGTTCAAGCTGAATGGGCTGCTGTCCCTGCAGGGCTCCTTGATGTGAGTTAACCTCCTGAATGGTCCCCTCCAGCCCATTGCCTTTGATCACACCGCTGCTGGCGCCTAAAAAACAACATCACTTGTCTGCCTATTAGAGCCACTGACTAATCGTGACAGATTGTTTATATACTCGCAATTAGCAATGCAGACGCTTCCCTGAGAAGCCACTAAACCCTAGCAGAGGGACTGTGGACCACTGAGGACCAGGGAGACAGGGCACCCCCAGTTCCCACCAGCAGGCAGAGGGGGGCAGGAGATGGGCGCTCACCTACAGCCTGATACTGGGGTGAGCCTGGTTCTTTTTTTTTTTTTTCACCAGGAACCCTTCCCATTTTTTTTCCCACTTTATAGGCTGCTGGAGAAAATGGAAAGAGAGGAAGAGAGAGGGAAGGGAAAGAAAGAAAAGAAAGAAAGAAAGAAAGAAAGAAAAGAAAGAAAGAAAGAAAGAAAGAAAAAGAGAAAAAAGAAAATACATATATAGATAGATAGATAGATAGATAGATAGATAGATAGATAGATAGATAGATAGATAGATAGATAGATAGATACATTGATAGTATAGAAGCTAAATGGATAGAAAGATATATAAATACAGAAATAAAGAAAGGGAGCTACATTGATTAGATAAAGTTATAGATGAAGAAAAAAAAAAAGAAAAAAGAAAGAAAGAAAGAAAGAAAGATTAATAAAACATTAATCTTCTTTATTTTTTTTTAATATTTTTATTTGTAGATGTATCATACTTAAAAGCTGAATTAAAGTCTGGGACACTTGTCACATCACACAACATCATGTTTTATAAATTCATGCCCTATGTATGTGCATTTGTTCATATGGGCAGACAGACAAATAGACACTACTGTCACCCTTCAATTTGATATGTGGGGTTGTGTGTGTATATATATATATATATATATATATATATATATATAAAATTATTGTATTATTTTCTCCATCCTAATTTTCCCTTGCACATAATGTCTGCACCGATCTCAGGGTGTCCCCCGTATAGGGTACAAACTGATCTCTCCCAGGGACTGTATACAGGGACTGTACAGATGCTGGATATTTCACTGCCAGGGAGCGGCTCATAAACACTGCCTATGGAAAGTAACGTCTGCCCGCTGATATAATTACCTTTAAATGACTGATCAGTCTTTGTGTTTTTAGGAGATTAGAGCCCTGCAGCTATCAATAAACGTGTCCCAGCGAGAAATCAATCATTAAATTATGTACTGCTCATTTCCCCACACATGGAATAATATATGTGTATGTGTGTGAATGTATAGAGTTATTTCTGTTATATATGTCTATACTCTCTATTGTAATTACACTGTACAGTGTGTGTGTGTGTGTTTTGTGTTTAAAAACTATGCATATTACATGGGTATGTGTATAACGGATTTATTGTACATATGCAATGTATTTTATTAGACAGTTATAGTTAATATTGCAGGTTATAAAGAGCTATAAATATATTTATATATACAGCATTTGTGTATTACAGAGTCTCTCTCTCTCTTTCTCTCTCTCTCTATTCTGGACAGTTATAGTTATTATTGCACGTTATAGTCATAGAGAGCTATTATATATATATATATATATATATATTTTTTTTTTTTTTTTTTTTTGGGGGGGGGGTGGGGTGTTTATGTATTACAGAATCTCTCTCTCTCTACAATATTTGTGTATGTATTACAAAATCTCTCTCTCTGTATGCTAGACAGAGTTATTATTGCAAGTTATAGTCATAGAGAGCTATATTATATATATATATATATATATATATATATATATTAGTTTATTTAGGTTTGTTTTATGTATTACAGAATCTCTCTCTTCAATATTTGCGTATGTATTACAGAATCTCTCTCTTTCTCTCTCTCTATATATATATTTATATATACAGTATTTGTGTATTAGAGTCTCTCTCTCTGTATATATATATATACAATTGGTCATTGTGCATTGCGGAATCTACAACACAATACTATATATATGTACACATGCACAGTATAATCTCCTATTAGTGGTTGTGTATTGCAGAATCTCTAGGAGAATAGAGTGTAATGGGTTTGTTGTGGGTAGGAAGAGCTTTATCCAGCTTTTCTCAGGCAATGAAAGTGGAGGAGTAGTGTGGGTAGGTAGGTAGGTGAGCTTGTATTTGTTCTGGGTGAGATGTATCATTTTCAGCTGTTTGAAGATAAGGGGGGGGGAGAAGTCATCCTCTTTGAAGGTGGATTAACAGTAATAATAAACACACTAATTATGCTTCATTTGTGTTTCAGGTAATTTTGAGCTGCTGTTAAACAATCCGATTTGCATTTCTTTTATTTAACAAGTCAACAACAAGGCTGCAAATGACAAAAAAGGGGGCGATGGGTGACTCCATGAAAGGCTCGGCTTCATTGAATGGGAACTGAGAAGCTGCCCCCGGGTTCTATAGTTAGAGCTGCTTGTGTGTGAGTGGACATGTGACCTATCAGAGCCCTCCGCCCTCCCCCTCTGCTCTTCAATTGGTCCATTCTATCATTGGCTGTGCTTTATTAGTAAGAAAGTGCTGACTTTCCAGCTTGATATATGACAACGTCCAGCCGGCGCAGGGATTTGGCATTGTTGGGTCGCCCATGGAAGGTACACGTCCCCTGGCTCTCTGAGGTCTAGAAGGAGAACTCCTCTGTATGGCCCCTGGCGTTCTTATGACTTCTGCCCAGCTTGGTGTAAAAGTTGAGAACTCTTCTTACAGCAAGACTACCATGCAGACCAGTCTAAAGATGGCAGTGGAGGAAGAAAGTGAAAAGCCCAGGACTAATGCTGCTATCCTGCCCTTCAGTGTGGAGGCATTGATGGCTGACAAGAAACCAGGGAGAGACCTCTCCAGCCCAGCTGTGTCCCCACTAGCTGGCACATCCCACAGCCCCAGGATGGGGTCACTGGCAGCCATAGACACCCCCAGCTCCCCTATGTCTCTCAACAGCCATTACTCTGTCGGGGGGATCATGAAACTCCCAGAAGAAGCACTTGTCAAATCTGAGAGCCCGGACAGACAGGACAGGAACCCCTGGATGCAAAGTTCTAGGTTCTCTCCTTCTCCAACAAGTAAGTCGACTGAAACCTTTGCTGAATGTGATTTTATCAAATGACGTTGCATTTTTTATCTTGACCTTGCATGCATGACCATATAGTTCTTATGTGAACGTTTATTTGATTTATATATATATATATATATATATATATATATATATATATATATATATATATATATATATAAAATTAGAGCTGCATATAACTGTATATGTATAACATCTATAATATACATAACAGTAAGTAATTAGAACAGAATGTATAACATATATATAAGTAACAAAAAGTAAATAGAACAAAATGTATAACATAAATAACAATAAACAGAACAGCATTTATAACATCTATAAAATTCCTAACAGTGAGTAAATAGAACAGTAAATAAATATTACATAAATAAATGTTAATAAACAAATTCATACATTTGATTTGCAGTTAGTTTTCACTTTTATATTTTTTTTTCATATATAATATTCCATCAAGCTCAGAACAATAAAAGAAGACTTTACTGTTATTGGGTTCTGAAACGAGGAAACCTGTCATAATATTATTATTATTTTCGTTATTATTATTAATAATAATATTATTTAACCTCTCGTAAAAATCAGCCCATTAATTTGGAATCATTTCATCCCCGCAAATTGCAATATAGTAACTCCTGTAAAGTATTACATTTCCAGAGGCAAGCATGTTTTTATATACTATATGAAAGAATTTTCTGATAAACTGCTGGGGGAGCAAGACGAGAAAGAGAGAGGAAAATCACAAAGTTACAAAATAGAATCTGAACGTTCTAAGCAGAATCATAGATACTCATCTGAATCCTAGGCTTATAAAAAAACATTCAGACATTTCTGAATATAATATAATAATAAATATATTACAAATATAGTATATAGTATTTATTTAGAAAGCTATATATCTATCTATCTATCTATCTATCTATCTATCTATCTATCTATCTACACTTTCTAAATAAATAGAAGTTATAAAATGGTCGCATTACTTTAACCATCTCTTCTTTCATTCTTTTTTCAGGGAGGATGAGCCCACCAGCCTGCACCCTAAGAAAACACAAAACCAACAGGAAGCCCAGGACCCCCTTTACCACCTCTCAGCTGCTGGCCCTGGAGAGGAAATTCAGACAGAAGCAATATCTGTCCATAGCAGAAAGAGCAGAGTTTTCCAGTTCCCTCAACCTCACTGAGACTCAGGTGAAGATTTGGTTCCAGAACAGGAGAGCAAAGGCCAAGAGGCTGCAGGAGGCAGAACTGGAGAAACTAAAAATGGCAGCCAAGCCTATGTTACCACCAGCTTTTGGGATCTCCTTCCCACTTGGGACAGCAGTACCTACAGCCTCATTGTATGGAACCTCAAATCCTTTCCAGAGGCCAACTCTCCCTGTGTCACCTATGGGACTTTACACAGCACATGTAGGATACAGCATGTACCACCTCTCCTAGACTCCATGTGATTTCAGTTCACAGACTCTTGGCAAAAGAACTTTTGCGAATCTTTCCCAAACCATAACCTTGTGTAACTATTTATGAGTTCCTAGGGAATTCATCTTCAGAAATAGCATGTCACTTCAACATGTATACCATTATCGCCTTGTCAGCTGTGTCTGGTTAGTGGGATCTTACAAGCCCGTCCGCAAGTTCTAATCAGTCGATTTGCAGCATGCGACACTTTTAGCGCAGGGAAGTCAGAGCGACAAATCTCTAAACTGATAAATCCTAATATATATTTTTTAACCAAGTTACTGTCCAACACAACATTTTGGTCAGTCTAAAGACATAAAGAGGCTTAATAGCCACTGGTACTCTCCATATCGTCACAGAATGACACTGTCGGTACATGGATATATATGTAAACTTGTATATCTCTTACATGTAAGAGATCATGTATTTCTATTTAACAGCACTGTCTGTTTGCCCTTTTTTTGTTATTACAATAATCCCTTTGGAAGGGGTTTGTATTATGTAATATACTGTATATTTGAAATTTATTATCATTTATATTATAGTTCTATTTGTTAAATAAATTAATTTTAATGTATTTCGGTTGTACCCTCATTTGTAATTGGGAAAAGAAACACAAACTAGGTAGAATATATCTAGAGGACTCAACGGGCTATGGCTAAATCCATAAACCAAATAACACAAATATTCATTGATTTTGTTTTATCCAAACTATTTTTTCACTATTGGAACAATAAACTGACAGATCTGGAAATTATTTAGGGCTCACTATAAAATACTTTATGACCTCTGGACTTTCTGGCGCCTCCTCTGTCATTCAAAAACCTTTCATATGTGTAAAAACACACAAGCAGAAAAAGGGTTAATTTAATGACTCGGGTGAGATATCATTAACTGTAGTATTGTTTTTTTTTGTGATATGTGAATAGCCATGACACTGATACAATTTACTTCTACAAGTATACGCAGTTTCCATAACTTCAGTGTAAGCAGAATATATCTTATTATATAAAACAATGCCTTGTGTACATATAATTATATAATGCATATATATATGTATAGTATGCAATGTATACCAGTGTATATATGAGTGATTTTCTCTCTCTCTCTCTACATATATATGTGTGTATACAGTGTATACCAAGCATATAAGAATACATTTAGGCAGTGTATTCATATATTACAGTATTGCTCTCTCTCTCTCTTTCTATAGATTGTATACAGTGTATACCAGTATAAAGAATACACTTAGACAGCTTACTCATATATTACAGTGTTGCTATCGCTCTCTCCCCCCCTCTCTCTTTATTTATATATACAGTACTTGTGTATTACAGAGTGTCTCTCTCTCTCTCTCTCTAGAATGTATACAGTGTATACCAGTATAAAGAATACATTTAGACAGCTTACTCGTATATTACAGTGTTGCTATCGCTCTCTCCCCCTCTCTCTCTATATATATATACAGTACTTGTGTATTACAGTCTCTCTCCCTCCCCCCCCCTCTCTCCCCTCCTCTCTCCCTCCAGTGTATACCAGTATAAAGAATACACTTAGACAGCTTACTCCTATCGCTCTCTCTCTCTCTCTCCTCTCTCTAGAATGTATACAGTGTATACCAGTATAAAGAATACACTTAGACAGCTTACTCATATATTACAGTGTTGCTATCTCTATCTTCTCTCTATCCTCTCTTCTCTCTCTAGCTCTCCCCTCTCTCCTCTCTATCTCTCCTCTATCGCATTCTCCTCCTCTCCTCCTCTCTCCTCTATCTCTCCTCTCTCTCCTCTCCCTTTCTCTCTCCTGAGAGACAGGGAAAAGAGAAAGAAAGATAATATGTTAATTTGCACGAAGTGTGACTTTTTCACGCCATTTGAGGCTTTGCATTTCCTGCTTGCACACAGCCTGTTTGTATGAAGTCTGTTTTGTCTACACAGCCAGGGAAGGATCTGTTGACCCCATATACAATTACACTATAGATCTTATAACCCATACACAATTTTTAGTTTGTAGCTGTAGAAATAGGAGAACTTGTATGGATGATCTGAGCTGGTGGAGCGGTAGCATAGGCTGTCTCGCAGTACACACAGCAGGCTAATTGCAGTAATGAGGCAGGGTAGTGCAGACACAGCGCTGGCTCCAGTTAGGCTGTAGCTCGGGGCGAAAGGAAACTTCTCCAGAGTCACTAATATCAGCGATGCTTTCAATAAATGGCCAGACCTCTCGAGTTTATTAAGCCCTCCTGTCATCCTCCGATTGTTGTTCCCTTACATCACTCTGATTGAAGGGCCAATAAACATTAATTACATCTCAGTTTACAGAAATGCCATGCTGTAATTCCCACTAATAATTCTGGAAGAGGTCTATCAGAAGCGAAAAGGTTAACATTGTGTTATTCTCCCTTGTGTCCAAATGATTCCCAGTCCGAAACCTCTACACAAAAATAGATGTCAAATTTCTCTGATGGTAACTTGCAAAGGCTACTAATGTTTAAGAAAGGTCTGGAAGTTTTAAAACCCTTTGGAATGTCTTTATGAAAAAGTGGAGAAAAACTGGAGATTCTTTGTAATCAACCAGATTTGCTGATTTTTTTTTTTTTTTTTTTTTTTTTTACTGTTGATCCATTGGCTTGCCATATGAGTCCAGTATTCAGAAATCAGTCTGGGATGATGTAAGAAAAAGGGAGCAAAGAAAACCTGAGAATATGCAATTGTTGTTCACAGCAGACAAACATAATACCTGCTTCATTGTTCAGAGAGTGACAGATTAGCCTGTGTCTTGCTATGGGAAAGAGCTGCACTTTTGCTCAGTGTTTCATTAAACCTTAAAGTGGGTCTATCAATAAAAATAGTGTCAGGTTTAATGATAGGTTTAGGGATCTTACATACTTTTTGTCAGCATTATCAAATCACATTCAATATTGGACTAAACAAATAACGCCATCTTGTTCCAAATCAAATTGCTCTAAACTTCATTTCCAGCTACAAAGTAATGGGGCACTTGAGGTGTTTCTTGTCATTAGAGACTGCAGAGACACTTTTGTTTGCAAAAAGAGGGGTCTTATCAGTAAAATAAAAGAGCAGAAAGCAAATCCTGCATACATAATGAGCAAATATGGCTGCCCCCATGTAAACACATCATTACAAATTACATATAAACAAGGATTTGAAGATGTTAACACACTTTGATAACATTATTTACATTCCATCTAAAAAAAAAAACATTTTTAAATGCTATTAGGTGGAAATTGACTAAATTGGATCTGGCAGACGCTGAAGCAATTATGCATAGTTACCAATCGCCTTCTAACTTCAGCTTGTTCCAGTAAGCTTTTAAAATGAAAGCTAGAAGCTGATTGGTTGCCATGCACAGCTGCTCCAAATTCTGGCTGCTGAAATCTTAGTAAATCTCCCTGTAATGTCGAATACCTTAGTATATGTATAAATGTTGAAATGTTTACAGTTCTAATGGATATAAGACTGCATAGCTAAAGCCAAAACATAAAAGAATCAATAGAGTAGGGATTTTCCTTTACTTCCTGTTCTGAAGGCACAAAATACAAGTGAAGGAAAGTCTCGTTTAGACATTTGTCCCCTTTGGAAATATAAAGTTTTAGCTTTAAATACATTTTAAGAAGTTCCAAATTTAAAGTATATATAAACCCTGACCTTGTAAAACAACATTTTTATAAGTGATCATACACCCTCTGTTCTCAGCGACATAGAGAGCTGATGGGAAGGGGAGCTCAGCAGCATACTGAACTTTCCAGCGAATTGGTGTGCATGGGGTGGGTGGTGGTGGGGGTAGCAGCACACTGAACTTCTCAATGAATTGCTGTGCATGGGGTATGGGGGGGGGGGGGGGGAGCAACACACTGAACATCCCAGTGAATTGCATGTGAGCAGAAGTCAGCATGTTGTATTCCCACCATAGCCAGAGAACTGACCACACTGTGCTCTCATGTCTAGTGTGGTCAGTTTTTATTAGGAAAGCACAGGGACTGGCAGGAACACAGGGGATTTCACAGAAAGAAATACAAAGAGAACAGGATACATTTTCATACAAGTACATGCTACAGCAGGCACATATCAGGAATATGAAATGTTGGGCTTGCATACTCTTTACAATTGATCTGTTATTTATCTTTGAAAAATGGTGTGTGACTATGTAGCAAAATGTTCCTCTTAATAGATTCAAGTTTGTAGGAATACTGACATGTGCAACTGGAATCAGATGATGGTACACAATAAGCATGAGCATGGAGGTGCAACATGACATTTCACATAAGATTTTCTTGGTGGAGAATGTCATTGGGGTTGTGGAAGATATTGGGCTAAACCCTTCTAAAGTTGCCCTACGGATATTAGATGGCATTCTCTATGTCCAGCCATTTTCTGCCAGCATGGGTGATGATTCAACATCTATGGGTGATGATGTAACATCTATGGGTTATGATCTCAAATCTATAATTCATGTGGTCCTGGAGAACAAGGTTACTAAGGCAATGATGCAGGTTATGGCCCTTGTCCACACACTATTATTTCTGCCAAGGTAAACCCCCACCAGGCTGTCTGAAGCCACACTTTTCCATCCTTTCTTTGTTGCCTAAACCTGGGCACTCACACAAGCCAAGCATTCATGTTTAGTGCAGCACCTCTGCCAGCAGACTTTCTAATATAGTCTGACCTTACATGTATGTTTGGATTGTTCTTTAATGCCTATAGCCAGTGTGTCATACAAGGAAGGACACATGTGCTGCCTACCAGTCCCTTCTGTTTTCTCACAGGAGAAAAGATTCAGCTCTGTCATGTACAGCTATTCATACAAATTGGAAAACCGCTGTAAGGAATAACAAGCTCATCATACATTGAAAATATTTGTTACCACCCCCTTATGGTATTCCTAACTGGGCCTGTTCATACTTGGAGCACAACACACTGAGATTAACTCCTTGTCCTAGTATCCAGCACAGCCAGACTGAC